TGTCCAATTAACTGAAATTATATTTTAATATGTTAAATAATTTGTTCATCTATTGAAGTTATATTAGATCAAAAAGTAGTATGACCTTGTGGATCTGTTGTCAAGTTCTTTCATGTTTGTTGCTTTCATAGGCGTTTTCTCAAGTTTTCTTGGAAAATGTTGGCTTTTGAATTTTTTGCCTTATTCTTTTGCTATATCATTCACTGAGTCTTCTCTTTTTTTATACTCTGTTGAAAATACATTCTTTGTTGCTTAAAGAGAATCTTCCAGTTAACACTAGAATAGAACAGCTTTGGTGAAAGGTAACACTGTATATTTTGACAGCTATGAATTGCTTGTAATAGCATTTAGTTTATTTATTGCTTTAGCAGCCAGTGTTGTGATCTGTGCCTTTGTCATGAAGGCAAAGGATCATATTCAGTTGTAAAGACTCCTCTGTATAAGATTTCTCTGGTGGTTATGTTAGATAACATGGAAATCCCTACCCCTCCAAAATCTGCAGACTTCAGAGCACACCTTTCTCCAAAGGGAAACCCTGCTGTTGAACAGTGAACATGCTGGTTAAAAGAATGCTGGTCCCTGTGGCTCAGCACAACAGGTGTCTGCCTCACAGGAAATACTTGCCTTTTAGGCATCTTTCAACATGCCATTGTTAAAATCCTGTTTCTTCAAGTTTTACAATTCATATATGTTGTAATTTGAACAACTCAGCCTTGATGCTCATTAGGTCATCTATCATCTGTACTTTATACATTCATTCCTTAGGACTTCTATTATATATAATTTATATATTACATAACATATAACATGTAATACATGAATAATAGTAGACCTTGTGTCTTCAGGGAAAAGAGTATCTTCTTTTACTCAAAGGCTGGGAGAATGTTATATCCATTATTACATATTTTACCATTCTCAAAAGAATGGGGCTTCTGTATTTAAAAATATCTTTACATTTTGTTTTATTCTTTGTTAGAGATAGATTCTCACTCTGTCACCCAGGCTGGAGTGCAGTGGCATGATCATAGCTCACTGGAGCCTTGAGCTCCTGGGCTCAAGTGATTCTCCCATCTCAGTCTCCCAAGTAGCCAGGACGACCTGTGTGTGCCACCACACTCAGCTAATTTTTAGATTTTTTGTAGAGTCATCTCCCTGTGTTGCCCACACTGGTCTCAAACTCCTGGCCTCAAGCAGGCCTCCTGTGTCGACTTCCCAAAGTGCTGGGATTACAGGCGTGAGCCACCGTGCACAGCCTTGTATTTTAATGTTTTATTCTTTAAGTCACAGAAAAGTATGTGTGGTATTGACTGTTTACATTTCCGACCATATGAAAAATGTCTATTCAATCTTACGGGGTGATTAGAGGGGCCTTTTTTCACTCGCTCTTGTTCAGATGTTTTGGCATGAGGATAAAATCTGCCGTTAATGTGTGTGCAGTTCTTAGTGACCCAGTTTTATTCTGAAATTAAAGACAGACCTGTGTTCAAGGTGGTGTCGTATAGTTGTTACAGTTACACTTTTAGGATTTCACTTAAAGGAAACCTTTTCTTTTAATTTGATTATTGGTTGTTGTTTTTTTTCGTATTTGGCAGTATCACTTTGATGGAGATGCTGTTCTTCAGAATGAGGAAATATTAAGTGCTGTCTTTGTCTTAGCTTTCTAGGACTTCACATATTTTGAAATCCATGAGTATCATTGAATAGATGTACTTGTGTGGTAGCTCATTGTGATGGTTTTATTAGGGTTGATTACAATGCAGTGTACCATCAGCCTTGTCACTTTTTTTGTAAGACTAAACAGAACTCTAGTAACTTGTCAAATTTTGAATACAAGTAATAAGAAAAAAATACCCTTTTAAAAATTAAATATTGGGCCGGGCGTGGTGACTCACACCTATAATCCCAGCACTTTGGGAGGCTGAGGCTGGTGGATCACCTGAGGTCAGGAGTTCCAGACCAGCCTAGCCAACATGGTGAAACCCCATCTCTACTAAAAATACAAAAATTAGCCGAGCGTAGTAGCATGCACCTATAGTCCCAGCTACGTGGGCAGCTGAGGCAGGAGGATCATTTGAACCCGGGAGGTGAAAGTTGCAGTGAGCTGAGAACACCCCACTGTACTCCAGCCTGGGTGACAGAGTGAGACTCCATTTCAATAAATAAATCAATAAAAATTTAAAAATTGGCTGGGCATGGTGGCTCACGCCTGTAATCCCAGCACTTTGGGAGGTGGAGGCAGGCGGATCACAAGGTCAGGAGATCGAGACCATCCTGGCTAACATGGTGAAACCCCATCTCTACTAAAAATACAAAAAAACTAGCCGGGCGTGGTGGCGGCGCCTGTAGTCCCAGCTACTCGGGAGGCTGAGGCAAGAGAATGGCGGGAACCCGGGAGGCGGAGTTTGCCATAAGCAGAGATCGTGCCACTGCACTCCAGCCTGGGCGATGGAGCGAGACTCCGTCTCAAAAAAAAAAAAAAAAGAAAAAGGAAAAATTTAAAAAATTGAAATTAAATATTGACAACTAAAACTTGGCTAAATTCTGGCCGGGGGTGGTGGCTCATGCCTGTAATCTCAGCTCTTTGGGAGGCTGAGGCGGGCGGATCACGAAGGTCAGGAGATCAAGACCATCCTGGTTAACACGGTGAAACCCCGTCTCCACTAAAAATACAAAAAATTAGCCGGGCATGGTGGTGCCTGTGGTCCCAGCTCCTCAGGAGGCTGAGGCAGGAGAATGGCCTGAACCCGGGAGGCGGAGCTTGCAGTGAGCCGAGCTCGCGCCACTGCACTCCAGCCTGGGCAATAGAGCAAGACTCTGTCTTGGCTAAATTCTGGAAATTACTTTTCTAGGTTTTAGTAATGGTTTATAAATTGAGTGTTCACATATTTGAGAAGCTGAGAATGCTTGAAGTTTTGAGTAATCCTGATGTTACTGAGAAGGATTAAGTGATCCTGTTGTCCAGTTTGGTTTATGGTTCTGTTTATTTTTCTTGTCAGCCTTTACTGTACCAAAGGCATAAACAGTTGTTCCTCCATTTCCTAGGAGGTTGCTTCTGCCCCCCTGAATATCAAAATCTGCAGATCCTGAAGTTTCTGACATAAAATACTGTAGTATTTCACATATCCTGTGCACATCCTCCTATATGCTTTAAATTACATGTTACTTATAATACCCCATACAGCGTCAATGCTATGCAGTTATATTGTTTAGGGAATAACGACAAGGAACAAAGTCTATACATGTTCAGTATAGACACAACCACTGGAGGCCTAACTACATTTTCTTTTTTTCTCTCTCTCTCTCTCTGTCCTTTTTTTTTTTTTTTTTTTTTTTGAGAAAGGGTCTTGCTCTGTAGCCCACGCTGGAGTGCAGTGGTGTGGTCTCAGCTCACTTCAACCTCCACATCGTGGGCTCAAACGATCCTCCTGCTTCAGCTGCCAATTATGTGGGACAACAGGCATGTACCACCACGTGTGGCCAATTTTTGTATTTTTTGTAGAGACGGGACTTTGCCATGTTGTCCAGGCTGTTCTCAAATTCCTGGACTCAAGTGATCTGCCCACCTCAGCCTCCCAAAGTGCTGGGATTACAGGCGTGAGCCACCGTGCCTGGCTTCTAACTGCATTTTCAATCCACGGCTGAGTATAAGAATACAGAGTCTATAAATTCAGAGCTTGCATACAAGAGTAGATAGAATGCCAAGTGCTGGTGGAAATATATTAAAAATAATTTTTTGTTCATTTATGCCATACCTTGTTTTAAAAAATTCTTACAGGCCAGGCATGTTGGCTCACACCTGTATTCCTAGCACTTTGGGAAGCGAAGGCTGGAGGATTGCCTGCGCTTAGGAGTTCCATATGAGCCTGGACAACGTGGCAGAATCACATCTCTACAAAAAAAATACAACTACTAGCTGGGTGTGGTGTTGTGCACCTGTAGTCTCAGCTACCTGGGAGGCTGAGGCAGGAGGATTGCTTGAGCCTGGGAAGATGAGGCTGCAGTGAGCCATGTTCATGCCACTGGTACTCTAGCCTGGGTGACAAAGCAAGACCCTCTCTCAAAACAAAAACAAAAACTCCAAAGATTTGATTACGGGGACCCCATGGGTCCTCTTGGGTTCCTGGAGTGCACTGGGGTGTCTGTGGGTCCCCTTTACCTGCAGGCACAGTCTTGACAGTTTCTGCATACGCGTTTCACATACACTTTTTGCGGGGACAGTTTCGGGCTTCATCCAATTCTCAGGTAAATTGAGACCCAAGTGGGTTTTAACAACACTGATCTAGGGTAATGATTTACAATATTTTTGGATCATGGACCGCCCAACAGTTGAAAATTGAGCGCACAGCTGTATGTTTGTGTGTCCCAAAATGCAATTGTGTGTGACTGTATGAATAGTTCAGGCATATTATAAAACATATATAAGGATAACAGTACACATAAACCTGTCCTCTATTGAAATATTTTGGGTACACGCTCTTTGAAGAACATTGATCAAGGTCTTACTAGGGTAAGAGTCTTTTTCTGATTGAGCACGACACACACATTTGTATTCCCTAGAATACCTAGAGTGAGGGTCCTCTGTGGGATTTTGCATTACAAGGTTTCAAGCTGTGTTGTGCTGAAGTATCAACAATCTGTAGAAGAGGGCTTGTGGAAATAAGGAAGGACTTAGCAAAATAAATTCTTAATAAATTATTAGCAGATCTGAAAATTATTTGGTTAAAAAAAATTATTTGGTATTTGGGACTTAATACTGTTCATTGTAGAAGATAAAATGAAGCTGAATTTTAAGTCAGTTGATGTTCTTTGAGGAAATGGAAAGTACTTTGAATTTAAAAAAATCCTTACTGAATGCAAATAATCAGAGCACACAGCACTAAATGGCATCGAAATCTCAATTACTGTTACAAACTTTATGAAATGAGTTAACTCTGATTTTTCTCATTGTTTATTGAAATCAGTTTTTAAAAAGGCTAAATCTGATTTCATTGTATTTCTAGGGTGATAAAAGAAAACGTGGCTGAAGTTACATGAAGTGCAGCTAGCAGTGTAATTCAGGAGTTAAGACCAGAAGTACTGGAATCCTGCCTCCTTTCAGGTCAGTCCGTATCTGCTCATTGTTTCCTAACAGAGCCTCGAGTATTCATTTCTTCCTGTTTTTTTCTAGTCAGTTCTTCCTGATTCTGTGGACTGTAATGAACATAAGTAATGGTCCCAGTGTTTTGAGTCAGTAGAATATTTATGAACAGTTAATAGCTGAAGCTGAATCCTCTACAGCGTGGCCTGTCTTGGTAGGAAACCCTGGCATCACAGCTGGTTTCTCAGCAAGTCGAGAGGGGACCTGAAGCTTTGCCTTGCCCTCCTCTTTCCTTACTGGTGTAATGCGTATATTGATTTGTCTTCAGGTAAAACTGGACTAAGAGGGGAAATGACATATCACAGATGTCTTGGAGTGAGGAGAGAGAAAAAAAAGGTCTTTGTAAAAAAATTTCCTATTGATTTTTAATGACCTCCAAATTTAGAATTTTAAACTTGTGTTCCTTTGGAAAGTATGTAATCTTAAAAATGGCATCAGAAAATCAGATGCATTCCTCCTCCTCTGCTTTCTACTTTTTCGGAGAAGGGTCACAATTTTTCTGTTCTTTTGTTACGTCATACATAAAATATTATTGAAACATTAATGCAGTCTTTATAACAAAATTCCCATGGGTACATTGTCATTCTAATAGATCCAGAAAGTATTAAGTGTATTTCTTTTCTAGCTTTTGTCTGGTGATACTAAACATTATTCTGTCTTATTCTTGCTGCTGCTACAAGTGGTTCTGGGGACAGGAGTGACTGTTGCCCGAGAGCTTCTTGGAGATGAAGGATCTCCCACACAGGACACAGAGTCCTGCAAGTCGAAAAGTCCGTTTTAACTGTGAAGATGAGGTCATGTGTACTAATGAAGACGTTTCTTTTCTAGGATTTGCGCGCACTTGGTTTGAGATGATGTATTCCATAGTTTTGAGAAATTTTACCTTTTCAAAGTATCTGACACCTCATGCAGCACAAAAATGTGACAGCTGTTTTGCATACTATGCCCAGCTCTAGAAAGTTAATCTCAGGCTTTGGTTCTCAAGCCTGGGCCCTAGACCAGCAGCATCGTCATCTGGGAGCCTCAGAATGTACATTCTCAATCACACCCTCAGCCTATGCAACAGAAATTTTGAGGATGGAAACTAGAGAATAATTTTATATCGTCTATGGAGATTTTATTGAAATTAAACTTTCAAGTTGCTGTATATGTAGGTCTCTGAAAATCCAAAGAACCAATCTCATATATGGGTAAGGAAATACATGGGAAAGGAAAAATGTGTACATAAGCTATCTGTGGCATAGATCAAGCCTGTGGCATTCTGTGGCCTTGAGAGAGAAGGGGAGAGAGATTTTAAGCTTATCAAGTAGATTTGTCATTGGAACTTTAGGATTTTTAAATTTTGGTTAAAAAATGTGAATACTGTTACTTCAGTTAAAGAACTTTTATAGATTTTACTTTCTAACAAAGTGAGTGAAAAGAAACCGGTTCACTCCAGAAACATGTAAAGAAAGTAAAATTATTAAAATGCCAAATATTTAATTCTTGTGACAGTGAATCTACTTTTATTATAAAGAGTTAAGAAATTGCCATTTCCATGACAGTTTCCTCCTTCAACAATCTTAATATTGAACCTTGAATTTATTTAGGTCTGCCGGTCAGTGATTCTAGTCTAGCAAATTACTTTAGGACTGAAAGCTCTTGTTTCTTTAGAAAAATATACTATGGAGATTAGATCCTGTTTACTAGTGAAGACTCTGTCTCTTTTCCAGGTCAAAACATTTTGTGGGAAATATCCTGTTCGTGACCTGGAAGAAACAAGACAGAAAACAAATCTTACCTCACTTACGAATTTCTTACTCCATACAAGCAGTTCATGGATGTCTGGGCAATCATAGCACTTTCCATTTAAAAACATGCTACAGGGGCACATTTTCTGTGGTTAAAAATGATCTCTGGAATAATTGTAAACTGCAGTTTTCCTTTTTATCGAGGGTTTTGGCTTTTTATTTGTAAATTAAATCAAGATGTTACCAACTCCTTGGTGTGGTGGTCTTGCCGGCTCACGCTGGGGCTCACGCTGGAAGGTAGTATGGCAGCAATGCTCAAATTCAAAATAGCCAGCAAATCCCTCCTTTCAGTGCTCTGACTGGGAACCATTAGAGGGTTTTTAAAAACCATCCCTCATAGCCCACAATTTTGGGTTAACTCTCAAAGTTGGGAATAAGCAAACTGGCATTGTTGGGAGAAAAATCGTTTTTACTGAAGCATGAACTGGCTCAGGCAAGCAAATAGCGGGAGTTGGCACGGGAAGGCAAGCGTGCTGTGGGGATGCGTGGAGGCGTCACCTTCAAAACTAAAGTGGTGCCAGGAGGACCGATGCGTCCTTGATCTTGTTCCCATTTGACTGAATTGTGAACCACTTCACTGTCTTCACAGTCTTGCCACTTACCTAATGAGGCTTTTCTGAACCTAGAAGGAGACGTCTAGAAATCCCAGCTTTGCTGTGTAAGGACCATTAGCTGCAAGTCGGTGGAAGTCTATAGAAAGCAGTGTGAATTCCATAGTGGTCTTGACTTAGCAAGGATTTGGGACAAGTCTGAAACTTCAGACTTAAAGCTTTGACACGTTAACTGCATAAAATATTGAACACTTTGAACTTCTTTAGCCTGTCAGTTCGCGACCCAGGTTTTTCAGTCTGTTGTATGTTTCCTGCTTTTCCTTGTTTTGCTGATCGTCCTCCTTGAGCTTCTCCACTGTTTTTATTCTGGGCATCCAATCCAGCCTTTCACGGTGTGTGCTTCCTCAGGCCCCTGGTTCACATGCCGAGTGCCCTGTACGCCTCGCCGCACCAGTGTGTGCTCACCAACAGTCTGCTTCGTTTGGGAGGGTGCTTCACTTCCAAAGCTACCCAGTACGACACGTACCGTGCAGCACAAAGCGGAACTTAGGAAGTAGCACCTGAGCTTCAAATAGACTTTCCTGATCATTCTACTGAGTAAGAGTCTCCACATTTAAGAATCAAGATAGGATTGACTTGTGAGGATAGTGTATTTTTGGACTGAAACCAAACTCCTCATGTCTAATTGTAGTTATTCAATGTTACCAGAATCCCTATTTTTGGCAGAACAAAAGAATGTGTAGTGTACTTTCTACTACAGCCATTACAGCAAACTAGATCTGAGTGCTGTTGCTAGTAAATAGCCAGATTATGTTGTCCTTACCCAAGTAGACAGTGGAAAGGAACAATGGCAGAGGACATGATGCGAGTCTAGCCACAGCCATGCATCCCATGTATGATGATCTCAGTCCTGAGATCACCTGTCCTAGGCCATGAACTGAATCATGTCCTAGTGCTATATCCGACTTCATAGCTTTCCAGGGGAAAAGACTAGGAGATCTGTGACATGACTAGGTCACATAAGCTGTGCTGCACACACTTTACACTACACGAAGTTGCCCTGGGCCTTGACCTATAGTTCTAAACGTCTATAAACCTTTTGGTAAGGTGCTGCCTGAGAACTGCTTTGTTTTTCAGAGGGATCATTGCTCAGGCTTTTTTCCCCAGTAACTTGAACTATTTGGCGATTCCTGTTTGGTTTGTATCTTACACAGCCCTGCCTTCCTGATGAACAGTCGGTCACCTTCTCACGTGTTCCTGACACTGTTTGTTCACATCTGTAGCTGGACTCCTGCTGTCTCCTTTACTGCTCCTGACCTGCACTGCGAACTCAGATCTCCCTGTTCCCCCGGAAAGCTATGAAATCAGATATACTGCATGATTCAATTTAGTTGAAAAAGTCCAATCTCGGCCCTCACTTAGCTAGAAAACCACAAATATCTACTGTCTTTTAAAGTTTTGAGACTTGAGACATAAAAGGAAACAGACCAACATCATAGAGTTTTATTGACAAAACCACAGGAAAATGCAGTTTTAGGATGTAAAGTAAAAATGGTTCTCTGAAATATCTACACAAACGTGAATGCTGAAAAGTTTTCATTAAAATCGTATTTCATACAATTATAAACTAATGAGGAACAAAACAATTGTCACCTTCTCCATAACCCAGCCTGAGCTCGACTGACGCTTGCCTTGAGCAGCAGGAACTCTTCCCAGACAAGGCGGCGGCTCCCACACAGCAGCCAGGCTTCGCTGTTACCTAAGCTCCATCTTCCCAGTTGGTGTTGAAAACTAGGGCACAAGATCTGGCTTTTCAAAAAAAGCGTAGAGACTCCAAGAAACTTTTTTTTTTTTTTTTAATTTGAGACAAGGTCTCATTCTGTCACCCAGGCTGGAGAGCAGTGGCCTTTGATGGCTCCCTGCAGCCTTGACCTCCCCGGCTCAAGCAATCCTTTCACCTCAGCCTCCGAGTATCTGGGGCCACAGGCGTGTTCCATCCCGTGTTACCCAGGCTGGTCTCGAACTCCTGGGCCTAAGCAATCCTCCAGCCTCAGCCTCCAAAGCACTGGGATTATAGGTGTGAGCCTGTAATATTCTTTAGGCCTCATAGTGTACAAGTGACTATAGCACATTTACAAGTGACTGCCATCTCCAGAATGTGTGGCCACTGTCTACTAGAAAAAGATCAGGCCCCCCAACCCTTTCAGGGGCAGCAAACCCACACTTTATTTGGTGCTTGGGTAACTTGAATATAACATGGCTCCCCTTGCTGTAAGCAAATGCTTTAGAGCTGAACTTTTTCTTTTTCTTTTTTTTTAAAGCACAGAAGTTCACCAGGGCTAGTAGAAATTTCAAGGAGAATCGCTTGAACCCAGGAGGCGGAGGTTGCAGTGAGCTGAGATCGTGCCATTGCACTCCAGCCTGGGCAACAAGAGCAAAACTCCGTCTCCAGAAAAAACAAAGTAAGTCTTTAATTTTCTTAAATAATCCTCATATGTACTATCCACATTGTGGAAAAACTGAAATACGCAGTCTGGACACTGCACTGAGATTCCAGCATACTGGCACAGACACAGCTATGTCGCATCTTACAGACTACAACAGACAACAGGCTTAACTGCAAGAGGTTTACAGACAAAACTTTACATAGATGTGCTAGGAGAATTCCAAACTGCTGTCAGAGAGAGTGTAGGAATGGGTCTGAAGAGAACTCCACCCAATCCCTGCTGTTTGGTCACTGCAGCTGCACTCTGTATGCACCTATTAGCAACTTAACCTGTTGAAAGAAAAGAATGCAGCTGTCAGTACAGATCCAGATTTCCCCTTTCTTACAAGAAAAAAACCACACATGGCCAAGATCTGCTTCTATTATTTGGCAGTATTTTCAAGTTGCTTATCAATTTACATTGTTAGATCACTGCCATTTTAATTCAAGAAATAATTCCAACTGCTATTAATTTTATATTACTGTTTCATTAGAGAGACTATTTTGTCCAGCTTCCTTTCATACAAGAGGTTAGGGACCGGCCTAAAGACATATATTTGGCAATTCCATACCAAGGCCTAGAACATGATTCAGATGGTTCCATCCTCTAGAGAGGCATTCTTCTCAGCTGCAACCAAGTCCTTTTCCTGCCGCATTATTATGTCTGACACAATAGATTGAGAGAGGGTGCACCTGGCATCACTACCCTAGGGAGTGCGTCTCTCTAGGACAGGTACACCAGGATTCTTGGAATTTTTTTCTAATGCTGATAAAGTAATCTGGAGTAACAACTTGAGTACTGACACTACATATGAAGAAAGGATTGTCACCTTGGCAGAGGGTGCTTCTGTCAACCTTATGAAGAGTTTATTGGGACCTGCAATAGGGCTGAATGAGTAAACAAAATGACTGTCCTACAATGGAAAGAGAAAAAAAAAAATCAGTGCTTTTTCAGACTTACACCGGAAACTATTAAAACAGCAATGATGTAAAAGAATCATAAATAAGTTTTGTTTTTTATTTCATAAGTCAAGATGCTGTGGGGGAGGCCAATCGCTTGAGCCCGTAAGTTTGAGACTAGCCTGACCAACACGGTGAAACCCCATCTCTACAAAAAATACAAAAAATTAGCCGGATGTGGTGGCGTGCATCTGTAGTCCCAGGTAGTTAGGAGGCTGAGGCGGGAGGATTGCTTGTGCCTGGGAAGTCAAGGCCCCAGTGAGCTGTGATCCGTGCCACTGCACTCCAGCCTGGTCAACAGAGTGAGACCCTGTCTCAAAAAAAAAGGTGACTGACTTTTCCCTTGATTTATTAAAAATATACAAATGACAAAATCAGTCCAGGAAACTGGATTAGAATGCACCCAGCAATATACAGTACAAGTGTTAAAATGGCTATATCTAGGGAATTTTGCTTAATTCAGTCCAAGGAAAGAATTCTAAAAGTGGCAAAGTATATACAAAGAATCTTTTGAGATCATTAAGAATTTACATTCAGAACAATGCTAGCCCTAAGACAGTATGGTAAGCACAATTTAAGGCAAAAAAACAAACAGGAAAAATTCCTACTGACAAAATTTAGGATAATTACGGATATTGCCTCATTCCCAACCACTATTATTGGATTATTTTCTGAATGATTATATTAAGACACAGGACTTTAAAATGAAGTCACCTATGCTTTTGATTAGAAGAATTTACTTTTCAATAGTGAAATACAGAGTATCTTACCAGAAAAACAGGAAGTTGAAATTTATCATTCAGAACTACAGCTTGTACACTACATGGTCCACAGAGCCGAGCAATAACTTCTTTACCCAAAAAGTTTGCATGGAAGATAAACAGCAGGATGCCAGAGCCTGAAAATGGGAGATGTGTATGAATTACTTCAAATGCAACCTTCAGCCCCCAGAGAGAGGCACACTCAACGCCAGATGGAAGCAGGCCCCTGAGCTGGATCTGGTCAGACAGGCATCACCCACTCCGCCTGGAGGCTCAGAGGAGGTTGGCCCTCTCAAAGCTTGTGTCACCTGGCATTTTTCAACCCACAGAACTCTTTTTACCTTTTGCCCAAGTAATCTCTACTGACAGTTCCTGGAAAAGACTTAAGTATGATTTTCTACACTGAAGTTATTAAACTGGTATTTTAAACATGACTGCTGAATGTGCACATGTCCCAGGGACATTCCTGTGGTGGGCACCTTTGGGTGTGGGTCTGAGTGGTTTTCCATTTTCTTCCACATACCCTTTTGCCCCTTCCAATTTTTCTGATTAATACATACCCAAAATTGGCCAGGCATGGTGGCTGATGTCTGTAATCCCAGCACTTTGGGAGGCAGAGGCGGGCAGATCACTTGAGGCCAGGAGTTCAAGACCAGCCTGGCCAACGTAGTGAAACCCCTGTCTCTACTAAGAATACAAAAATTAGTTGGGTGTCGTGGCGGGTACCTGTAATTCCAGCTACTCAAGAGGTTGAGGCAGGAGAATTGCTTGAACCCGGGAGGTGGAGGTTGCAGTGAGCCGAGATCGCACCACTGCACTCCAGCCTGGGGAACAGTGTGAGATTCCTTCTCAAAAAAAAAAAAAAAAAAAAGCTGATGGATGCAGACATTATACAAATGCTGAGAAAACTGCAAGTCCAGCAGTTGTAGGTGTCAGTGGGTGCTCAGGTTCACCAGGGCCAGCTCAGGGCATCGCTCACTGGCGCTCACACCTGGCAATGCAGATGGTCCACCTAAATAATCAAAACTATAAATTATTGAACAGGCACGGTGGCTCACGCCTGTAATCCCAGCACTTTGGGAGGCTGAGGCAGGCAGATCACTTGAGGTCGGGAATTTGAGTCCAGCCTGGCCAACATGACCCCATCTCTACTAAAAATACAAAAATTGGCTGGGCGTGGCAGTGGGCGACTGTAGTTCCAGCTACTCCAGAGGCTGAGGCAGAAGAATCACTTGAACCCAGAAGGCAGAGGTTGCAATGAGCCAAGATGATGCCACTGCACTGCAGCCTGGGTGACACAGGGAGACTCCCTCTCAAAACAGCAGCAACAACAAAACCTGATAAATTATGATTCCACAATGTCAAGTTCTCTCAGCACTAAGATACTACAAATGGCTCTTTCAGGGGCAGGGCTATATGTTCTTAAATATGTTTTCCAGGAATGAATACTAAGTATGAACTTGCAATAAAATATGATTTAGAATTTATTTGAAAAAGAATAAACTTGAATAAACTGGTAAATATCGACAACCAACAACAGAGTATTAGTCAGTGCTAAACAGAAACGCACCATCAAGACATGGAAGGAATCTGGGAGGCCTACTGCTAAACGAAAGAGGCCACTTAACAAAACGGGGAATGGGTTTCTAAGCAAAAAAAGCCAGAGCCCAGCTGCCTCCACATCTGCCTGGCACCGCGTGTAGAGAGGGCCAGCCGCAGTCCTGCCTGGAGAGGGGCTGGAGCAGAGGCTAGAGAGGGAAGTGGCTTCTCCATCTCTTCCACCCGGCTTTACTACAGGGCAAGACTATTTTTTCTTTTTCAAGAAGGGCAGAGACTTTACAAACAACACAATTCAGGGAAAAAACATTCCAGGCTCAGAATCTTCATAACTCAGACACTGAATTTTAGTAAAACTCACTGAGCACCAGTGTGATTAGGAAGCCCTAACTTCAGTGCTCTAAACAGGGGTTAAAACAGGGATGGGGTGTCAGCCAGTGTCTCTTCAGAGTAGCTCTGCTGTTAACTGGTTTGCAGAATTATTACACATAACGGAATTTCCTTAAAGTTTGCTCAAAGAAAGGATTCTGTCTAACAATCTGTTACTATCGTGTCACGTTCACACAGCAAAGTGTGAAGGGAGGCACAGGCTTACCTTCTGGTATGTTCTGTGGGGGTTTGTAATTGAAATCTGTTGAAAAATCTGGCCCCTCACAGAGTCGATGACATGCGATTGGAAACACTGGTTCCAGCAGAGCAAGGCGAGCTTCGAAGTAATCCTTTATTGTCTCTTCTGCTACTCTTGAAAGTCTAAGAAAAAAGAGTAGTACACGTTGTTAACATTAATGTAGAAAAGAACCACAAGCCTGTCGAAAACCAGTGAGGCCTTCCCAGGCCAACCTTCCAAAAAAGAGCTGCAGCTCTGCCTGCCTCCTTCCCAGCTCGACTTCCACCCGGCGGCACCCGACAACCTGTGTGTCTGTCTGGTCCATCTCAGTGGAACTGAAGTTCTAAGAGGGCAAGTCTCTTCCCCCACTGCCGTTTCCATCTCCCCAGTCTTTAGAACAGTGCCTGGCACAAAGTCTATGCTTGATACATAGTTGTCTAATGAATCAGTGGAAAATCAGAAAGGGGAAGCCCTCAGTCCTGGGCAAATCAGCAA